ACGACCCATTTCCTAAAAATTTTCGTAAATTAAAAAGTTACGGCCTGATAAAGCCATACTCAAAGTTTTGACGGATTTTAATAATTTGATAAATAAAAATCTGTACCAATGACTAGGTACATCGTCGGTAACTCTCCGTAAAATCGATAGGTATAATCGAAGAGGAGGTTGGTATACATGAACTATAACAAGTATTCATATGTTTATTACCATTTTTCAGAAATAGATCCACTACCGTTAGATTATTTATTTAATTTTTTTAAATTTCCGTTTGGTTAATTGGAAAACAAAACAAAGATATGTGCTTTAGAGCCGTGAAAAGTGAAAACATCAACAAGGTGAGATTAATAATATGAAACAAATTATGAATAATAGTTCATTATAAAGAGGATAAAATTCTGAAAGGATTAAAAGTCCGATTTTTAGTTTCTGTTATATTTTAATCTTCACCTTCAATAAAACTCTGTATCATTTCGTTTTCGACACTATTTTCCCCTTTTCGCCTCTCTAAGACAGCGTCGCGTTAAGAAACAATTTTGAATAATATCTCATTATAAAGAGGGTGAAATGATAAACATTTCTCATTCTAACAATGTGCAGGTTCAATTTTCAGTTTATGAGATATTTTAATCCATATGTAAAAAAACACCACAGTTAGTCGACTCAGGCCGTCTGTACCCGTGCGCTACACATTGGAGATGACAACTCAATCTAATTCACTCTCGGCAAAAAAGTGCAAAACGCGCCTAAAGAAGTTTTCACTTTAAAAAAGTTACGATTGGGTGTTCTTCACAACCGAAACTGTAATCAAAAATCATAGTGAGAAGAAATCCATGGAATGTTGAAGTTAATTAATATATGATAGAGAGGCAACAGATAGGACAGCAGTGCCTCAATTGTACCTCGCCCGAGCGGCCGGACCCGAAGATAGGAATGGAACGCCAATGGCAACTACTCCTTTATGCCCCCCATAAAGATAGCCTTTTCTCAACTCACTCAACAATTAAAACCTGCCAGTTTTAATACTCGATAAAAATGGAGTGCTATCAGATCGATTCGCGCGCTCGTTAGCGAAGTTATATCGGATAGCTCCTATGTATTTTAATGGCTCTGAAATATGTACCGGCATGGGTTAATTTTAATTGATGTTATATTTTTTAACAGAAACCATCTGAGGAAATGATATTTATGTTTTGTAGCAGAAATAAAACGGGTTGATGATGAAATTGTTTCTAACAACAGATTATTTTCAACATTTTCTCACTTAATTCTCTCCCTCATCTGTTCATTTTTTCCCTTATCCCCTTCTTTTCTAATACAAAAACCTTAACTTATTTTCTGAATTTTCTGGTATTCTTTCTCTGTAATTCTTGTTATTTCCTCCTCCATCTGATAAGAGTGTCCACCAATGTTTCTTAGTCCCATCATTTTATCGAACATTTGTTTGTTCAACCTCTTTTCATTCATTCTTTTCGTGTATCCAAAAAATTGTAGACTTCTTTTCTTCATAGGTGTTTCCAAGTCTTCAGTTTCCTCCTATATAGATCTCTATTTTTGTTCTTATTTTCTTGGACCGTAGATACATCTTAGGATTTTTCTTTCTATTTTTAATAGATTTTCCAAACTAGTTAACCTCATTGTCACAACACCACTCTTTCAGAGTGTCTAATTTTATATTTTTTTGAAAAACTTATTTTATTGTAGGAATCCGTTGTCAAATTTTCCAATCTCCAAGTATTACTTCCGATACTTTTGGTCACTGGAGTGATCTATATACATATAGTGCCCTCCTCGTTATAATTCACAATATACCATACAATATACCGGTATATACTCAAACTACAGTTTTAATTGTCCCATATTTTGAATTTTTTTTCTCAAATTATATTACAATATTTTGACAAAGATAAGTTCTTGGTTTAAAAAAAAAAAAAATAATAAATGAGATGAGAATCTTGAGAAAGGATTAATAATGTTAGAAATTTTACATTCCAGAAGTGTATACTTAAAAATATATCCTTTGAGTAGAAAATAAGATTAAAGTAATAAATAGGAATAATAAATTTAAGATGAGTCTGAGAAGTGTGTAGTTTCGTAATACCACCCGGTCCGCTACCATTCCACTCATTTAATATGTTTATATTAAAACAAATATTGTAAACTTTAAATTATAAATGTATATATATA